AAGTTACGCCGCCTCCGCCTCCGCTCGTAAGAACGTGGGAATATTTCGTAATAACGATAGAGAGGATCCACCTCGAGGGTAGAGTCTGCCGGACGTCTACGGAACCGCTTCGGAAGTTCCGTATGAAAACAATCCGCGAAGTCTTTAGCGCTCCCGATGAAGATTATCCAACTTCCCGCCGGTTGATTTATCTCGCCGTACCGCGCTCCCTACCGCAGTTACGACGGATAGTTACGACGGAATACTTTTCCGCTGCGTAATTACCGTGATACGTATCGAACCTCGCAGCGCTTGCGCCTCTCTTTCTCTCTCTCTCTCGTGACTTTCGGTGTCTGGTGAAATCCCGTAAACGCTATTATTATGTATCAACACCCGGCATAATTATCCCTACCGTGCTTAGAATTCATAATACGGAACATGGCGGTAAATCACGATGCAAAGCCGCGATTTGATGCGTAATCGGGGCTGAATGCGCACGTACGAATTTCCACGAGTTCTTTGAGGTTTCTCCCAACAGCGCAATTAACTTCCCGGCTTACAAGGAGAGATCACGAAGTGGTACCCACCGGTTTACGCTTCCTCCTTTTCCTCAACGAAGATTCATCCACCAAGGCTTATCCCCGAAAACAACATTATTGAAACCGGTGGGTACCACCTCGTGGTGACCCCCCGGTCCCTCTCACGCCCCGCAACACAGCGCAGAGGGAGGAACAGTGCTCGATAATTCGCGCGAGTCATCCTCGCGTTTGCCCGTCCTCACCGCGTCGACATCGCCTGTGTGTGTCATCGCCGCCGGCTGTGAGCCGTTCGATTAATGCATTTTTTTTTTGTTTTTTGTTATTTTCCGCTATGGAAAATAAACGTGGTAACAAGAGCCGCGCGCGCGCGCACGCTACCGACAACTCAACATTTCCATTGTTTTTAATTCAGCGATCGTGCACGAGGGCATCTACAATGCCCGCGCTCCCAGGCTGCGCAGTTTGAAAATTTAATCCTCCCAACCCTCTCGTCGCTTTTTAACCAGACTCCGTGCTTTTTTCCCCCCTCTTCCCCCCCCCCCCCCTCTCTCTCTCTCTCACTCCATCTCGCTCTTTCCCATGGGGCACCTGGAGAGCTACGCCCCGTCGTCGCGCTCCCCTCTCGGGTCTCCCGGCCGTTCTCGGACGGACATCCGCGCCCGGCGCGATTTAATTCTTGCGATGTAAATCCCGTGCCAGGCGCAGGCAGGTAAGACAAAGGCGCGCCATTAACACGGGAGGCAAGCGGCTTATGTTATATACGTAAACGAGCGCGTGCTACCGCGAGAGTGTGTGCACATTGTAACGAGCGAGGATTGCGCGCGGGGTCGCGCGCGCTCAATTTTACGATCTAATTGAGAGACTCTCTATTAGGACATTCCAGGATTTTCACCCCCCTCACACTCCTCCCGTTTCCCCCTCTTTTCTCTCTTTCTCTTTCTCTCTCTTTCTCCTCTCTACGTCTTCTCTCCGTCGCCGTTTGTCCAATTTGAGTATATATTCGATGAGACCGAGGTGATCCCGCGCGAACTCTCAACGTCGTTATTTAATCTTCGCGATCCAAAACCGCAGTACACCCCCCTTCTCCCCCTCCCCCTCCAAAACCGCGACCTGTCGAAGAAACACCGCCGAGGGAAGCCGACGCGAGGAGGGTGGGTGAAAGAGGATGAAAAAGCGCGATGAAAAAGAACCCGAGAGGGCGGTGAAGGAAGAGGAAAGAGAAAGAGAGAGATAGAGAGAAAGAAGCGCAGAAGAATCGCCGGCCGATTCTTCGGCCGTTATTTCCGCTCGATCGGGGGGTTGGCTTCCCGAGGGCTGTCGTTGACACTGCTTTTCACACCGGCCGAAGCAAGTGGCAGCGGAATAGGTATCGACGACGATACAATGGCGGGCCGCGTGCGCCGTCTTTGTGCCACGCACGAAATGAAGTTGGCTTTCCCCTCTCGCCTCCCTGGGCGTCGCGCGATTGCACGAGCGGGACGAGCGAGCTGGCGTCGCGACGCGGCGACAGGAAACTGATAATAACCACCGGCGCCCATGCGCGTTTCGAAGCGATCTGCTTTGCCGCCGCGAGATTACGTTCCGCCGCGCGGAATTTCGCGCGACCAGATCGTATTATCGCGACGCACCACCGCAATTCGCTCTCATCGATGCATCGATACTGCTGCGAACAGCGAGTGACAGGGGGGAAGAGAGCGAATGGAGGAAAGGGAAGCGAATGACAAAAGGAAAAATGCAGCACGCACGCACGTACGATGTGCAGTCAGTGAATGATGTCGCGAGGATGGGAGGATCGCAGCACTTTTCGCTCGATGAACCTCGAGGCGCATCCGGTGTCCGATGGGAGAATATCTTCTGAAAATTACTCTCGGATGTTAGAGGGAGAATACCGGAACGACCATAGGTATGGTAAACCGACACACCCATGTTTTTAAGCCGTAATATATTGAACTCTGTTGGGGAAAAGAAAGAATACACATGAACATCGTTTACTATGTACGGTAATTGCGACTGAAATGGCACTTTCCGTTTGCAAACACGTCCGTGTTATTAGCGTCGTTCGATCTTTCGTTCCGCTGCTGAAGTTTCCGTCGAGCTGTGTCCTCGTGAAAGTTCACGTAACAAACCCCGGCGGTGATAAATTGTTTATTGTTTAATAAATCGTGTAATTTATTTGACAACGATATTTTATCGCATGAGTTTTTATCTTTACCAGTCAGTTTGGACCCTTTGTTGATTGTGCCAATCTCTCTGAGACTCTGTCACTGAGCCGCGCAAGAAAAGTGGGTTTACTAGATTGTTCTGTAAACCGACATACTTAATTTACCTGAACTTTGCTATAAGATATCACCTCGCACGATACAATCATTTCCACTGTACCATCATATATGTTGACGGAGAAATATCGCTGGACGCATGTGAATTTCACTTTGAATTTAAATATCACACCTTCAACAGGCCGCGTTGGAGCCGAAAAACGGAATGGTCTTAGCGTTTTCCCCCGTGACATAAATTCACCTATTAAACACGGATGCGTTGCGAAAGTTGGTAAACAAGAAGGTAACCATTCTACCGCCGACTATGGCGCAACGAGATGAGGCGCGCGGTATTCTACATTAATTCGTAATAAAAGTCTTACGAGACAAGAGACACGTCCCGGGGGGGAGGGGGGGGGGAGCGGGGGATCGCTCATACCTTTCATCCGGTGGCGGCGGCTTAAAGGGTTGAAAGACGGCTAGTTAAACACGCTTGATTAAATCCGCGCAGCGGCGGCCCGGCAGTGGTAGCGGCATTCACGGTGCAATGTTGAGCAGTTTGCAACACTCGTATCAAACGGACGACATGACGCGGGATGACAGACGACGTATCAGTCAGTCCAATAAACAGACGAGCGGACAATATCTTGCTGGTGCGGCCCGGGCTTCCTCCATACGGCGCATACAACCTTCCTATTTACCCGACTACACCGGGGAAACCGGTTATTGGTCCATATTCGCAACAGGCAAATCAATACGCGCATATCGGAATACTCGGTCCTTCGATCCGCGTCGCGGCGCACATTCGCGAACAAAGGCCGGACATTGCAAAATCCGCGCGCGCGTTGCAAAAACCGTACGAGCGCGCGTAACGATGCGGCTTCGCATGTTGCCGGATAATTTATCCGAGCTGCGGGAACGTCGATGATCAAAAAGCAAACGCGACGCGCCCGAACGTATATCGACGTACATCATCGGCCGCGAGGAAGAAAAAGGGCGTGAATTTTTATCGAGACACCCACGATCTCATCCTCGCGGCCCCTCTTCGCAGCTCATTACAATATTTCATCTCCGGTCTTCTCGTTTAATTCGATTCCGTCGTATAATCGGATTCCCGTGATCAAGAGGTATCCCGCCGATTCCAGAGGTATCTCTCTCTCTCTCTCTCTCTCTTTCCGTGCGCGCGTGTTCGATTTCTCGGGGCTTCGTTACAAGCCGAGATACAATCCGTCGTTAACGTTCGCTCCGTTCGCCGCGTTTTTTAATCAACTTTATGCCCGCCGACTCATCGAAACGCAAGGCTGGCTATCTCGGCCGCACGGGTCTCGGCAAAGGTCGTAGGTCGCAGGCGACGAAGCGACGGCAGGTCGCACGCTAAATCGTGTTCTCGGTTGCGCGTTACAAATCGGCGATTGTGTATTATTGGCAATGACCCTCCTACCCGCGATCGCGAGTTATCGGAGTTTCGAAACGGCCAAGTTCGGCCGGCCGGCCTTTCCACCGCGCCACCCGGGCCGATCCATGCGGTTAATTCACTCGCGCACTTTGAAACTCGATAACTCACGGATTGCTCGTCATAATTGTAACGGCGAAGTCGTTACTGGGCGATTCTACGCTACGCTGCCCTCGACCGAGTTACGTTTAAACGTAAGACCATTTCCGCTCCTGAATGGAAAACAGTCGCGGTATACACGCGTCGGGTTTTGGCAACGCGCGACCGAACCGATGATTGAAACGCGCACGTCCCGCCAATTGTCGCTCGATTCGCTCTCTCGTGTTATCCGATTGCGCGGCTTTTTTCCCCGTCTTCCTGCGGTTTTCACGCTTCGCGAAGAAACCCGCGCGGGAAAATAGTCTTCTGACGGTTTGAAGATCCGCATCGCCGAAGTCACCTGTCCGGGGAGAAGTAAGAAGTCGAAACGAAATCTGGTCGTCGAAAAGAGGTGGAAACGGAGGTGGGAGTCCAATATCAATCTTGCCTCTCTTGAAACTCGGAGACAAATAGCGGATGATGTTTGTATTGTATTGTATAGTGTCTAATATTTTGATTGCCTAAACCAGTTAGCCTCAGTTCATTTTAATGTTAGTCCATGCCGTGTGATTCCTCCATTTCGTTCATCCGTGTACTAGTTCAATATGTCTCATGCGAATCCCATTGCAACGGTATATCATTCCGCACGTCACGTCTTGCTATCTCTTGTAATTTCCTTTAATAATGATAGCAATGATTATTACGATACTTTATTTGACGCCAGAGTCATACATAGAAAAAGAGGCGGTCATCGATAACTACGATGATGACGTAAGCGAGCAAAAGCCGAGGTAACAGCTGTAGTTGTATCAACTGATTTTATTGTCTAACTTGATTGTAAAAATGCACGACTAAAACAATAATAAGATAATATGAGTATTATATACGTACACTGTACAGACATTACGTTACACTATAATTGTCGTATTGCAGATAACACGAAGCACACCCATATCAGTCGACGAAGTGGTGCAATCTTTGGCTTATCTTAGATTACATCACTTCGTCGACCAATACAAACGCGCCTCGTGTTATCCACATATAGCGTGATACAAAACTAACCGATTCAGGAGTCGTAAATTCGAATCCATCGGTGCTGCAGCGTGTTTTTCAGATAAGATATAGCATTAAATTAAATAAAAGGCTGAAAAATGTCTAACAAAGTCAACATACACTAACGCCAAAAAGACAGCTTCTATTAAGAAAATACATTAAATTTCTAGTCGGGAACGTAAATATTTTTTAGTATTATTATGCAACCTAGCTTATATTTTTCGCTATCTATATTTAAAAAGCAACCACTTTAGCTGCCCCTATTTCGAACGTTTTAATTGCTACAGCTAGACCCGAGTTTCTACAACTAAGTCCCTCTCTGTGTATATAATTCTACGTTACATATTATAATAAAACCGCGCGTTTACAAGATGTGATCCAAACCGCCGAGATCGCTTATCTGCAGAAGCATTTCGGCGAATATCGCAGACATTTTCTCTCCACCGCACTCTTTACTTTGTTTTATGAAGAACTCTGTATCATCTAAATATGTCATCTCGAGGTTTGGGGCAATTCCCATTAAAACCGGCAAATAGAAGGACGCGATGACAAAGCCGAAGACACAGCCTCGTTTGTAATCGTCCAATATAGCGTTGTACGAGTACTTCCGGATATCCCGGAAACCTTCTTGCAGCAAACGGTTCGTCAGCTCGGTGTGATAAACCGTCAAGATGTCGAAAAACTTCTCCCGCATCATGCTGTTCGTGCAGCTGAGGTAGAGAAACGTGGAGAGATCAATGACGGGCGTGCCGTACCTCAGAAGTGCGAAGTCGATCAGCATCGCGTCAAACTGCCCGTCATCACGAGTCTTGAAGAACACGTTATTCAACGTAGCGTCACCGTGACAGATCGTGGACAACGGCTCCGACGGCTCGGCCACTCGTGTCATCACGTTTTTGAACGCGTTCGACAACACAGCCTCCATTTTGTTACAGAAGTTCGGGTCATGACCATGATCACGGAGATATTCCACCGCTCGTATCGGCAAATAGTTTATGAAGCCCTTTAACCATTTTCCCGTCGTCTCGTCGTACCTGGTCTCCTTGATTTTACCCACGATACGGAAGAACTCGGCCCGATTTTTCTCCTTCATGACGTACCCTTTAGCATGAAACCGTCCCAACTCGCGCACTACCGCCAGTATATATTCGTAAGGAGCGTCGTAGTTGTACGGGCAGGCCTCGAATCCGAGTTTCCCGACGTCCTCGAAGGCGATCACCCAGTCGGTGGACGTCAACTGCAACGGTTCGTGGCTGTAGAAGTATCTCGGAAAGTTCTCATCCAGGCGGCGGTACATCTGATAGAACAAGATCTCGTTGCTGAACTGAGGGCCCACAGATACACTATCGCAGCCCGTGGATTTCTTGATTACGAAGGAGCATTCTTCACTCATTTGGTTCAGGTTGTTCGTGTACTTCACGCACACGAAATATATGTAAGACATCAGACTGCGGAGGGACTTGACCAACTCGTAGCGCACGTCCTCCACGTGCGAGCCGATGCCCTCGGCGATTTTCGGTATCACTGTATCCAGCCACTTCTTGTCCTCGGACATTCTCTCGTATGTTACACACAGTGCGCTTCGCAATGCGGCACTAATGTTTCAGCAATATTCGCTCGGATTCTTATACACGATACGACTGACTGACATGACTCGTCACTTCAATGACCAACTGCGGCGGTATTGATAGTAGTTATTAGATATACTCGTAAGTGACTCGTGCTGATACTTGGAACTCGTTTTCCGTGTTTGCGACTAGTTTTATTTTCGCGTTGTCGAGAATATTCTACGCAACAGTCCGGGAAAGGTCGATGAAGTAACCAATGGCGATAATATAGATCGGAAAATCTGCTGATTTGCTTGTTATCGAGAGACGATATTTTCGAAATAATGTGTAGTAATATTTCCACGAGAAATTACGAAGAAGAAAATACGTCTATAAATATCTTTACGTGCGATAGCTATTTTTCTTTCTTTCTCGTTCAACGCATTCTTCCTTGTTTTTACCGTGTTTGGTATATACTGAACTCGGTCTTTACGCCAACTGATATTTCGATCATCAAGAGACAAAATTATTTAATTTATTACTCGCTCGTATACTTAATCTTATCTTGTTTACGATACGTTTAAAGCTGATTAAATACATTCTAATGTGCCTTGTACATAGGAAAGAAATGAATCAACAATAAATATTCTTATACACCGGGTGTCCGATATAAGATGTACCAAACCGTACAAAACGTATACAATGGACCAAGCTGAGAAATAGGATTGATATAAGTTTGTATTACGCTGAGGAAAAAATTTATTCACAAGAAGAAAACTATTTTCAATTTTATTAAATCGTTCGTAACTGTAAACATTAATTTTCTTTTAAATAAACAACTTATTTATTTGTTTAACGAAAATTCCATAAAATTAAAAAATATTTACTGTTACACAACGAATCATTTATTCTTCTTAACCCCTTGGGTACGGATTTATTTAAGAAAATATTTGCATGTGGAACGGATATAATTTTTGGTTGCTTGGAGTAGTATGTAAAAGCAGTNGGTAAATGCAGTGCTACTTTGCATTGTTTGCACTGCCACGTAGTCTCTTTCCTAATATTATGCTTATAACAAACACGGCACCTTTTTCCAGGGTGTTGCTTGGACTTAGTTGACGGAATGTTCTCAGGAAAGTGTGCCCAATTTTTCGCTGCCAAACGAAATGGTGTATCGCTACTTGACGGACGTCCACGACGTTTATAATTTGGCAATGACAATTGCTCCAGCAATTCTTCGGCAATAGCTAAACGAAAGGAAGTAATGCCTGCCTTGGTTGTGCAGTTGATTTTAGAATATAAAACATGAGCATTATAAAAGGCCATATCTATTAGATAAAAAAACATTTTCTTATAACCCTTTACACATTTTCTCATAACTGGGAAGCACGCTATCACTATCATAAAATATATTCCTTGTTTTTGACATAATGGGACAGTGTATCGCAAATAATGTTCACCGAAATACTGTAATTGCCTCTTCTATTATGACTGATACAAGCTACAATGAAATGAACAGAATTGTGCCTAACCTCAAATAACGTTTTAGACACGTCATCCGCTCCTAGGGAAAACAAGTGAATGACGTCTCTCAGACGTCAAATGTACCCAAGGGGTTAATTAATTTCTATATTTATCACATCTTTTTTGTTGCTTTGCTTTTAAACATTGTCAACGATTTTTCCCGAAATCTCGATCGCGTGCCATTTAATCGATTCCACTTGCACTGTATTTGAAAAATTCGCTTACCACTGGACCCGGATTCCGAGAGCGGGAAACGAGCTTGAATCGATCCGCTGTATCATTTTTATAATACATTTCTCCGTACACAGCGTAGTGTGTTTTTCGCAGTGACGATCTTTCAGCTGTCCAATTAAAAAGAATGAGCGCCGGAGCCCGCCAGATAGTCATTACTCCTGTCCGAGTTCCACGACGCCAGGCGGGAAAAAAGTCTGGCGCCATGCTAAAGTTAGGAAGATACTGCATAATAACCCACTGAAGTTAGACCTGTTTAGCGGGATGATTGGCTGGCGACCGGCGAACGGCCGAACGGGACGCGGTTCGCCGACTCCTTATCCGCGAGTTTCCTTCGAAACTCGGGCCGCGCAATTGCCGGCTATCACGCCATCTTTATTGGACCTCCGCTCTTCGATGTTGAATATCCCGCGGATTTGAGGGCTTACAGTCGAGTCGGCGCGCGATCGAAGTCGCTTGCGACTGAAATTGCGCCCGATCGCATTTGTCTGAACGACGCGAATCGTCGGGGCGATTTAACGAGGCCGAGGTTGGAAGAGTCCCAACCGGCCGGTAACGCTGAAGATTTTCTACGGTGGGACAAACGACGGACTCATTTATCCTGATGAAATCGCCGAACAACGCTTGTTAATCTCTTCGTTTAGAGGAGAAACTCGACGGCCGCGACGATAAGTACCCCGAATGCTAAACGACTCGGGCAGCTGCGTCGCCGGGACGTGATTCACTGGAGGAAAGATCCGAGCGTGCACGAGCGCACGTCGCTCGATTTGCAATTCAAGGTGCAGTAAATTAGAAGCGACCGTGGGGGCAAGATGCGCCGGAGCCCGGGGCCAGGTAAACGTTCGGGAAGTTTCGCGAGATCGCATTCACATCGGATTTAATTACGAGCGTCTATCGGCCCGGTCTTTTCCGATTGGACCGGTTCCGCCGATGGATACGTACGGTCCCTTCGGACGAATAGGGACGACCTCGGACCATAGCCGGTTAATGCCGACTCAGGAGATAAGGGGACCGAATGTATACGATGTAGCGAGAAAGGAAATATTTCACTTGTGAATTCCCGATCAAGTTTCGTCGTGGTCCTTAACGTATGTCAAGTGTACAAATAAGTTCGGTGCCTCTACATTCGAGGTCTCGTAACTCCGGTCCAAATTGACATTTTTCAGCCAAATTAGCCCTGGGATGATTTGAAAGTGCCAACTCGAAGCTTCAAAAAGCGCTACGATAGTTCACGACACGACCTGAGAAAATAAGCGTCTGCATCCTTTTCCTCATTCCGGTTGAAACGAAAATGCTGCTCAGGTTATCAGGATGATTCGTCCCGCTTTGGGTGAAGGTGATGTGAACCCGTAAAACTTGTAGAAAGGAAAAAAAACCCCTGTTACCGGCGGTGGAACTGAGGCAGGTGATTTGACGGCGCGGAACTTCCGGATGAAATTGTTAGTGTGAAATATCACGCGTGTCGACTCCGTGCTTCTCCCTTCCTTTTCGTCTGAATGCTTCGAGTAATGCGTCGGGGGGGTTCCTTTATGGACAAACGTCGTCGTAAGCGCAGTCGGTCCTCCGACGTCGTATTATGACCGCGCGCGCGCGCTCGTACGGCGGATGGAACATCATGAAAGCCGCGGGGCTACGAAAAACTTTATATCTCGCCCTCTTTTATTTCACACCGTCGCGGCAGGTATATGTCTACATGCATTGCGGCGACGTATGCGTGGTTACGTACTTCACGTTACACGCGGAATAGTCCGTAAATTTCTATTTCTTTACGACTGTATATGTGCTCCCCGCGGCCTGGACATGTCGCAGCGGAGAAAGCGCGCGGAGATCCGCATTGCGGCGTTCGACGAAAAGAAAGAATCAGGGGGGAAGGGGGGAGGCAGGGAAAAGGAGGTATTTATTTCTGTATTTTCTCTCTCTCTCTCTCTCTCTCACTTTCTTTCTCTCTCTCTCTTTCTCCCTCTTCTCGGAGCCAGTTCTGTTTTTCCCAGGCGCACAAAGAAACGGCAAACACAGAGCACGTAATTACTCACGCTTATGGAGTAATAAGTTAACGCGATAGAAACTTGCATAATTACTCCGCCTCTGCCCCCTCCCCCCTTTGCCCCCTCGCTTTCTCCTTCTCTCTTTCTCGGTGATTTTAATATAGACTTAAAAACACACAAAAACACAGAAAGACGACAGCGCGAGGCGACTTCGACCGAGCTATTTGCGTGTTCGATATTTCTGCCGCCTTTGATCTCACTGTGTGTGTATGTTGGGATAGTTTAAAGTGCTCGACTTAAAAGTTCTCCCGCCTACGGGCCGATTCAGCGCGGCCGTCGTGCCGCGCTTATTTTACTTGGGAATAGCTCAAACGGCCCTTCCGGCCTGATGACTCTCGCCATGGTGCATGCGCTAACTGCGCTGTAACGCGGAGTATTTTCGATACACGTGCGTCACCATTCGCGCACTTCACGACAGACCCGACTTACTTCCCCCGTCGATATTCGCGACAAGTGCGACTACAGCAGCCACCTCGGCAAAAATTGCTCCATTTCTCCCTCCCCTCCACGCCCCTCTCCTTCCTTCTCTCTTTTTCTCTGTCGATATGTAGAATCGTAAGAAAAAAGAAAAAGAAAGTAAGAAAGGAGACCAACAACACGGCGAAGTAGTTCGACTTCGCGTGTGTTTTTCCCATCTACGCTCGAATTGTAGTCGCAATTTCTAGCGTAATGTTTGTCCAGGGTGTAGTTCCCCTGCAGAAGGTATACGTGTGTATTTCCTGGGTGTGTGTGGTCGCACGATGACGACTGCAGCCGTACAAAAGAGGGCTGACGAAAGGGACGGGAGGGTTATAACTCTCGGAGACGCGAAGTTGCAGCTGTAGGGGTTCCAGCTGGCATTACTTGACACCGGGTTTCTCCCGGCGAGAAACGAGCGATGCGACGACAAGCGTCGGAAATTGATGCATTTCCTCGACTGCCGACGCTTCCGCGATTACGTGGCGCGATTACGTGTAGAAATCCCTCGATTTCACGCGGTCGGCGCGCGCGTCTTAATCGTCCGCCAGCGCTGCTCGCCATTTTCCTGCCTCCTCCGGAGAGAATTCACGCGTAACGGATTAAGGGAGCATTAATTTTAAGTGTTTTCTCGCCGCAGTCGTCCCCGATTAACTCGGGAAATCCTTCTCGCAGATGGCATGCGCGAAATCTCGCGATTCACTTTTCAACCATGCGACACTTTCTCAACTCCGTCGCGTTAATTTTCACCCCACGGCTAATTATTGGTCGTCGGGGCGGAAGGGGGAAGTTCTCGAAATAATTCACACACAGATCGATCGCAGGTATCGCTTTATGAGCGAATCTTTTTATTTCAACGTACCTTCCCGCCGCTGACGCG